AGCAATATTCCTTGGTGCTGTCGGCATCCTTAAAAGTCTAAAGTTGCTAGTTGGAAATGTGTCGAGGAGGAATTGGATGTGTGTAAGAAGAGGTTGTCTAAAAAATGTTGGTTGTGAAATGATTTTTTAGGTTGCGTTCAAAATTTCACGGATGGAATTTCATACCCATGGTTGCGAATATTGTTTTGTTTCACTATTCACTGATACGAATATGAATCATAGTTGGTTTCGAATTTATCACCCTTAGTCCAATTCAAGAAACACGGCTTCAATCCTCCTCCAATCTCACTTTGAATTTCGTGGACTCGCGGCTTGCTCGGGAGAGGGGAATCAAAACGGACCAATGATTTTGAGTCTTGATTGTTTAAGACCAATGGCTATTGTGATTCATTGGGGGGAATGAATCTTGGTACCCCTTGGTTACACCAGGTTCATACCCCTGAACACGTAGGACCGTAAAGTCCATGGCATTTCCTTGAACTTGGAAGACCAGTCAAGGCTGCCAGCTTGGCAAGTTCCCCAGGTGGCCACACCCCTTCATCGACACCCTGATGGCACAGATAACACCTGTGCCTCAGGGAGTGTGTGATGCTCCTACTTTCACTTGTAGGGGTCTGGCCACCCCCCTTCTTACAGGTGCAGGGATGCTCCGCCGGGGAACTATCACTGCAGAACATGCTTGGGTCCTAACCAGAACTCCACAACTTGCACCCAGAAGTATGGCTTCGACTGGGCTGCAGGAGGTGTGTACCACATGGTGGGGTGAGCCATGAGTAATGTAGCTGATGGTAGTTGTACTAGACTATCTGCAATGCCTTGATAATTCTAGAGTAGTGCACGAGCCGTCGGTATTAGTCAATGTAGCTAGCATATGTAGTACAACAGTAATATGTACCGGATCTAGACGTTTTCTACAGCTAACAAGCGTAAATGTGTTTTTTGTCCGAACTTGTTGTTTGGAGGCACGTCCATTACATTACACTTAATTATCGTGCTAGTATACTCAGACTCAAATCACTAGCCCAGTTGCCGCCCATACATGTTGTGATTCGCGAGTTTGTCGACCGAACTGTACAAAATTTGGCAGCAAACCACCTGTTCAGATGTTCTTCAACACCATTTCGAATATTGCTGGCGAGCATGTCGACGTCGTGAGTTAGAGTGTTTCGTCGTGTTAAATAGCACAGACAGCTCGCGATTCAGACGACAAGAACTGGAACGACTTCATGGTAGCCGACACAAGATATGAGATTTTGATCGTAATTTACAGTATCGAATCCACCACATCGAATGCGACATTTGGATAAATCGATGACCAATCCGTTTCGCAAATTCGGAACTATAACTTAAACATAATCATTCTTAGTTGCCCAATTGATGTAGCAAAAAAACTTCACGTGCACGTCTACTTCCGCTATTGTGTTGATCTCGATATGAAAAATAGTTGCTTTACATAGAAAAATACACAACACTAGACCCAGAGTTATATAATCTTAACAGAGTCGCATTGCGAATGGATTTTCAAGACAAGCATCAATTGTGATTGGTCCATGAATGCGTATCATGCGCAGAATCCCTATTTTAATCGCGGATAAACGACTCCGTCACCCTAAGCGAAATAGCTCAAAAATGCTCCACGAGATAGGCCGATAATTTTATTACGACAACCACACACACGCCACATAGATCTACAACATCCGAACGGCTGGGTATACTCATGGATAAAGACAAATTTTTGCAACAACAGAAACTAACATGTGAATGAAAACCACGCAACCCTATTAAAAAATCACAGATTACAAGGTCACGGTACTTTGCCAGGCATTACACGACGCACTTTAACATTGCAGTACAATTTTTGATCCCTTCCACAAAATGTAGATGTCTTCAACACCACTGTAGATGTCTGCAAGTTACTCTCCATATTACGTTGGCCAGGGATTCTAAATTGATGGATATTCTTCACACAACCTATATCTTACCCACATGGATAAATGCTGCCTAGACAACGTGACATATTTTATTCACACATTTCACGTCATAATTACAATGTACTAGCTTGTGCCCAACCACTCAGCAAATGTTGTAATGAGCCAGATCCAATGAGAACAATGCCACAATACACAGCGAATAAAGCAGACTACCAACACATCAGCCATGGATGACAAGAAGAGGAAACCGATGCGTCTGTACCGTGTATAAACGCCACCAAGCCTGGTACAATTGTACGCATCGCAACTGTGGTAGTGGGAAGCATCAAATACCAACTATGACACCTAGTCTTTTAGAAATTGGACGAGATTGAATGAACTAAGATCAAGGTGGGATGAGGTTATAACTCTAATTAGGTTATACCTACTTATGGGCAAACATATTAATGAGACGGCGTCTCACTACCATGTTGCATTCGCATCAGTTTTGGATGGCATGTGACATGAGTCCAAACTTTACATGTCTTGTACGTTTAGTAGTATGGCACCCTATCGTTTAAAACCCATCCGGAGACCAATGTGAAAGAAATGCATGTTTGTGTGACAAATGAGTGCGCCCATAACCCCCGAACCCAACATGCCAGCAACCAATTTTTTGTAGACCCCAAACATATGTCACAAGTTGAGTAGCATGTCGAAGTGGGAAATGTTATTGCGTGGAACTAGTTTACATTGGATCGTTCTGCCCTTATAGGTTTGCAATCAGAAGCCTTGTGGAACGAACCTGGTCCAAAGCAATGTACGGACACAAACCACGTACCACAGCCATACGTTCGTGGTACGTATTTCATGGATATCATTCTCAAACTATATATATGTAGATGCAGTGGTATTGTACATAATTACACTATAGCGAGCCTGTTCCCTTGGTCGATAGGATGCTGATACAAGAATGCCTTCATGCACGTCCATGTATGTGCCACTCAACTCGTTCGCAATTCACACAACCGTGTTCAATAGTCTGCACATTACTAGTAACACATGCATTTGACGAGGGTTCAATGAGTTGGGGACAAACATCGCCCATGGTGATCTGAAAATGTCAAATGCACATGATCTGGACGTATACAAGTGCCAAATATACATACACCATCCTGCTTATTGCTGTATCCTTTACCACACATATAAGCACGCATATTGCGTCAACAAGACTAGTGTTATTGTAGACCGTGTTCGAGTTGGTCCAGTCTGGCAGATAGAACCGATTGTAAGTGGTCCGTTTTTTGCCGAATGTTTGCAATCCCCTCACACAGCTCCTGAACCTCATGTTTAAGCCTAACGATCTCCAGTCGCTGCTCTAGCTCATTTAGAATTGTTGGAGCTCCTGCCTTTATGGTTACAGACCCCTCCTCTCTCCTCCTACGGTATGGTCCTTACGATGGGCGGTTACCTTCCGCCTGTAATTGCAGCAGCAGTGCACCATGTAGAAGTGATGACAACGCAGAATGTAAGCCTGCCCGATTGTCCGATCCATCACTAGGTACAGAGGCCTTTCAAGTTTCCGAAAGTCACGAGTTACAAGGGATCAAAGAAACATGCATGTGCATATACCACAGTCTTGACTACCAAGCGGTTGCTATGGGATCTCCGAAGTCTACAGAAGCACCAACAGCGTTGCGAATAAGAAACAATGAAATGCAAAGAGTGTGATAAAATGGCCACGGCTGGCGAGACGGTACCTGTAATATGTGCCATTGAACTTTCTTGACCCTAGCCAGACTATCTTGCTCACAAAGTCCCGATTGGACACGATGAATCTTGTTAGCTACCAACCTGTATAAACAATGAAAGGATGTGAGAACTTCCAAGGCACAATGTGGAAACACCAGAAAAGATACAAGAGTCCTACGTTTTACCGTTCAATCGCATCCCATTCAATCCCGGTCCCGAAGAGCATGCCTGCCTCGTCATAGTGGTAGAACTTAGGCTTGTATGTAGGGGGTAGTGGTGGTGTCTCCGTGAGTAGGACTTTTGCGTTGGCAACAACAACCAGGCTGAAATGAAACCTGCTCACCAAAATCTTTCATGCCGCTCAACGCCACCAGGCAGCGTGATCTAGCCTCAGCAGCGCTAGACGCCTTAGGCAGCGCAAAATCGCCCCTTAGCAGTGCCTCGATGCCACCAGGCAGCGCGATCTAGCCTCAGCAGCGCCAGACGCCTTAGGCAGCGCGAAATCGCCCCTTAGCAGCGCCTCGACGCCACCAGGCAGCGCGATCTAGCCTCAACAGTGCAAGACGCCTTAGGCAGCGCAAAATCGCCCCTTAGCAGCACCTGGACGCCACCAGGCAGCAGGATCTAGCCTCAGCAGCGCGGAATCGCCGCAGGAACCCCCCGAGACCTCGAGTACGTACACGACTAAGGTCCATCGCACGACGGGCTAGCCGCGAGGCCGTCGGCACCTGCGACCGAGCGTGAGCACAACGCTCTTAACAAACGAGTAGACGAACACGCTTTGGCCAGGGCTTGGAGCCATGGAAGACGACCCAGGCCCGGGGGATCCCGGGGTCTAGGTGGTGGACGGCTTAGACAGCGGCTTGACGGGGCCCATCGGGGGCAGTCAGAGCGACTGTAGACAGGGCAGCAGTGTGGGGGTCGCTCCGCCTAAAGGCTGGCCACAAAAGACGGGGGGGGCCTGAGGGTGCGCTCCAGAGCCCACGCATCTGTCGCCTCCACCATGAAGACATTCTTTGCCTCTTCGGCAAACCACCCAAGAGGCGGTGCTATAAAGCGAACCGCCCAATTTCAGCATTTACAGGTGGACAATTCCTCAAAGACCCCCCTAGCAACCGGGCTGGTCAGAGCGGCGACTCCGAGCCTTCGGCCGTCAACGAAGAAGGGGGAGAAGCAATAAGCGACAGGGATCTGGTCGCCGAAGTGGCATCGGAGGCTGCGCGGGCAGCTTGGGAAGAGCATTGTAGGCGCTTGTAACAACAGCACGACACTTGCAGAAGTGGCCAACCTGAGTGAAAAACGCGGCACAGTGCCAGCTCGACCGACGCCGACTTCCCCTTAGTCGTGCCACGTCTCGCATGGCAGCAGGAACGGAGGCGTCGGAGGGCGGCGAGGGAGACAGGCAGCGGGAGCCGCCGGTGGGGGGCCGGTGGGACCTGCAATTGGGCGGACAGCAGGGGGGCCGGGAAAGAGGCCGACAGCCGCCGGTGGGGATGCGGTAGCAGCAGCTGCAGAGCGGAGGGCAGCAGCCCAATCAGAGAAGAGGGCAATAGCAGCTAAAGAGCAGAGGGCAGCAGCCCAATCAGAGCGGAGGGCAGCTGCACCTGCAGAGCGGAGGACAGCAGCGGCTGCAGAGTAGAGGGCAGCAGCAGCTGCAGAGTGGAGGGCAGCAGCAGCTGCAGGGCGGAGGGCAGCAGCAGCTGCAGAGCGGAGGGCAGCAGCAGCTGCAGAGCGGAGGGCAGCAGCAGCTGCAGAGCGGAGGGCAGCAGCAGCTGTAGAGAGGAGTGCAGCAGGACCTGCAGTGTGGAGGGCAGCAGCAGCTGCAGAGCAGAGGGCAGCAGCAGCTGCAGAGCGGAGGGCAGCAGCCCAATCAGAGCGGAGGGCAGCAGCAGCTGCAGAGCGGAGGGCAACAACATCTGCAGAGCGGAGGGCAGCAGCAGCTGCAGAGTGGAGGGCAGCAGCAACCGCAGAACGGAGGGCAGTAGCAGCTGCAGAGTGGAGAACAGCAGGTGCTACCCAAAGGGCTGCAGTTTGCGAGGCTGCCAGAGGGGGAGATGGAGATGGAGTCAAGCAAACGGGTCTTGCTGGCGTGTTTCAAGTGGGGAGGAGCACCCAGACCCTACGCTGACACCCCCGCCACGCATCCCGTGCGAAACATGTTATCGCACGTTCATGGAGAGAGGAAAGGCCACACGCCATATGTCGGCCTCCAAGGCAGCGGACGCCCAGCACCGTGCGCAGATGCTTGGATTGACACGCGACGTCAGAGATGACTCGGACGGCGAACCTCCACCACCACGTGATATCAGTGAAGAGGTGTGGGCCGCAGTTCCTACATAGGACAGGGAGTCGTTTTTTGGAATCGAATTGGTGCCAGGGAGAATCATGCGTCGCATCTCATAGCGCGCAAGACTGGGGGTGCTTGATGCACTATCTTGTGTCCTAAAGCGGCTTCAGTCAAAGGCAGCCGACGAGGCGGCATCCTTGTCCTTTTTTGCCTTTTCTCGCCTTAAGTGGGCAAGGCCAGCAGCACAAGGCGGCAATAAGAGAGCGGCTGGAGAAGTTTGGGCCGAGGATTGGCAGCAGCTGTTTGAGTTGGCTGTGGCGGCAATGCAACCGGCGGCTCGCCCCTTGTCCTTCCCCCCCCCTCCCGAGCATGATCCTGACGCAGTGCACCTGACTCGTTGCCGTACAAGGTGCAAAGTGGGAGAATGGAGTCGGGGTTTGGCGTTTCTTAGTGCTGGTAGCATCTCTCAGCCCTCTCAGCACATGGTGGACGCGCTACGAGCGAAACACCCATCGTGCGAGACCTCCATTCCGGAGTGGGTGCAGGAGGAGACGGTCGAGCCTTCCCTTATCCCACAGCTCTCAGTGGAGGTACTCGGCCAGGCGATCCACTCAGCGGCTAAAGCGCCCGCACCAGGACCGTCGGGGTGGGTGACGGAGCACCTGCGCGACACTTTTCTCTCTGAGCCCACATACCTGCCTCATCTGCTAAGGGTCTTCACCCAGTGTGACCAAGGGAGAGGTAGCAGAGTGCGTGCGACCCTGGCTGAGTGCGTCCAACCTTGTGGAAGCCGAATTGTGACGTTCGCCCGGCGGCTATAGGCGACGTGCTCCCCCACATACTCTCGGGCCATGTGCATCGTGCTTTGCCCGAAGATGATGTCGTACTTCGCTCCGTATAACTAGCTTGGAGTCGGGTCCAGGTCGGGAGCGGAGGTTCTCGCACATGCCTTTTGTTCCGCCATCTCTACTCACCCATGATGGTGCTAGCAGCCATGAGGCCTTGCGGGAACGATTGGGCGGGCTTGGTTTGGAGGTGCAACCGCGTAAGTGTAAGCTATGGGAGCGAGGGGTGGACCAGGAGGGGGAGGAGAGGAACGAGACCGTCCCGCCCGGCATGCAGCAGACATGGACGGGGCTCACCGTAGTAGGGGTTCCCATTGGGGAGGAGGACTGGGAGGTGGCTAGCCTGCGAGGCCGGCTGACGCAGCTGCATGCACCTGTCCTTTGGCTTCCTCTGCTTGACCACCCACAGATTGCGTCCCATTTGCTGGCGATCGCAGTGTCAGCGCGCCCGATTTACCTCACACGGACGATGCCTCCACGACCTGAGGTTGTGGAGGCTTTCCGGGATTGGGACACAAAGCTTGAGGATTGCTTTAAGCAGCTGATTCCAGATAATACCTGGGATCGCGATTCGGAAAAGTCGCAGATGGCCCGTCTACAGCTGCACCTTCCTGCCAGACTTGAAGGGTTTGGCATTCGATCTGCAGCTGATCTTAATCCTCTGTCGTAGCATGTGGCAGGTGCCAAGCAGTGAGCGATGTGGCTTGGATGGGGGTGGCAGGGGAGGAGTGGATGTTTGAAGAGTTTTTCCGCATGGCCGAGGCTGCAACCTTGCTGGATCCCTGGCTTGCGAGGGCGGGTGGAGCTGCTTCTACAGTCGATCCGGCAAGAGATGCCACCCCTTGCCTTGTGCACTGCTGACCCCCCTGTGCTGCTTTTCCCCACACAGCACCGTCGCCTAGCGGTTGAGAGCCTGCAGTCTCTTCAAGGTATGGCCCACAACGATGCCACCCTGGCCCGTTTGACATCCCTTCAGGGCCCAGGGGCAGGGGCGTGGGTCTCTGCCATTCCTTCTCATGAAGAGGCTACCTTCACCGCAGCCGAGTGGAGCATCCGCGCATCCATACGCCTAGGTCTCCCTATACAGCAGCTGATAGTGGCCGGAAAGTGCATGCGTGGGTTTGAGTTTGCTGATCCCTCTGGCCCTCCGTTGCAAGTACCAGTATGCACCTTCTCGTGTTCACGATGCGGTTAAGTTTGTGGTGGCGAAGATAGCTAAAGTGGCGGGTGGGGTCGTGACCATGGAAGACGACACGTTGCTCCCAGGGAAATGGGTTGATGTGGCGGTTCGGAGACTGAGGGAGGGGGAGGAGCATGCACTGGAGGTTAGTGTGGTAGACCCTACCTCGTTATCAGCGCAGCACCATGAACAGATTGGCCGCAAGGTGGGTTTTGCAGCTAGAGAGAGGGAAAAGCGGAAGGTCGCGGAATACAAATTGCTTCTACAGCGTCATAGAGGAGTGCTGTTTACACCTCTCATTGCTGAGACATGGGGATGCTTGGGGGGGAGTTTTGGACGGTGGCTTAAGAAACAGGGCGATGCGCAGATTGAGGTAGCGAAGACGAAAGGGGCGACGAGGGCTACGGGAAAGGGTTTCTCGGCTTATTTGCTCGGATCACTTAAAGCGGCCATAGGTGTGGCTTTGCAGCGGGCTCAGGCGCGTGTGATCTTGTTACGCGCGGCGTCGATGATGAGAGGCCCAGAGGCTGTTTGGGTGGAGCGGGAGGATGTTGAGGAGGAGATGGGATGGGATGCTCCGTGGGCGAATGCGCCCTATTTGGTAGACATGCGGGTTTAGAGGGTGGGTTTAGGCGGGGGGTTTTGGTTATTTGGGGCGTACTGTTGGGGTGTCTCGATGGGATGGCTTGATGAGGTTCCGTATGTGCTTTGTTATTGGGGTTTTCTTTATGTTGTGTGTGTGTGTTTTTTTATCCTTTCCTTTTTCCCTATTTTTCTTCCTTCTTTCTTCTTCCGCTCTTTCTAATTTTTTCCCTCTCTTCCCGTTCCCACTCATTTTCCTTGCGTTATTGTGTTACATTATAATAATTTGTTATAAAAATAATATTCCATCGCTTATGACGGGAAATCGGGGGGTTTGCGGTGTGTTTTCTCAATAAATACTACACACCACACTTACCTTCTGGTGACAATCACTACGTTGTCGAAGTCCGGAAACGACCGTTTAGTTGGGCAGCAGTAAATGAGTTTACCATGATTTGACATATAATCGAATGCCTTGGAGTCGAGAGCGATTCATATTTGGCCATTTCTTAGCCGTGGGTAACGAATGGCAAGCAAGCTGTCAGGTACAAACGAGAAACGAGAACGTCATCCGGACTTACATGTTCGATTAATCACAACACCATAATGTGCTTATATATTGTGTAAGTCGATGATGTTGTCGTTCACGTCCATATATGAGGATATGCGATGAAGGCCTGCTCCAGAGACCGTAATTCCAAACGAATGCCAATTGTAGATGGTGCTCGACTTTCCTGCCAGAAGAGCAATGTTGTTATAATGAGTGGCATTCAATCGACCGTCCAGTTCATCATGGTCAATAGCAGTTGAAGAGCCAATGCATTCTGGCATAGCACACATAGAAGGTCTTGGAACATAAGCGCCGTAAAGACTAATGCTCATGGTACGTGTGAATCTAGGCTTGTAGATGGTTGAAGCTTTATGACCCGTGTGGCTAGTATTGTTGTAGCTAAGGCGTCGTGTGTGAAGCCTGCACCGTACCATTTATGTGGGTTCTTACTTCATTGAACTCTGTTTGTCAGAGTTTTTACTATCAAATTTTGGCGGTGCACAAATTTGCGTTCGCTCGCTTAAAAAAAGGTTGACGTGGCTAGTTTTCGTGCATTGTAAACACGCTCGAGCCAGAACAACACAAAACACGTTCGAATTCACCGTGCCTGGGTGTTCGTTTGTGATGCACGGTGGTCATTATTGCGTGATTCCGTGTGTTTCATTGTGGAGCAACGAAGGGTTCAGCGACTCGTGATATCTTAACTGGCATGATGTAGTGAACATGCAATGCACAGTGTTATCGATCACCCCGTTTTTAACTTTGATCATTTCCCAAGTCGATCTTGAAAATGATTGGCCAATAATCTCGCTGCAGTTAATCGTTGATAAACACCCTGCGCGATGAAGTTCAGCATACTGTAGTGGCTTAGTCGTTGACAGTTAAAAAATGGTCGAACACAAACAATGTGACTCGTATATTCCTGCGCTTCTAAAAAACCTAGCTACAAAACTAAACAGAGTGTGTGAACAGAGTCGTGTGTATGTTCATGCATATTCAGCACGCGATGCATCAAAATTGTAGAATCATTCAGATCTACACAGAAAATTCATTGCAAACTACAGCAAGTTGAAAACCCTAAAATCGCCGCATCTATGAGAGGTAACACACAGATGCGAGCTAGTAGAGATTTGAGATTGAAACATGTGATGTACACTCCGCATTGTTGCTGGTATTTCACCTGTGAAAAATACACACACACCAAACACGGTCAGTAATGACGTGGATAAGTTGATCTACTGTAACACACGCTAATCTCGTTCCTCAGTTATAGTGCTGATGCTTTTTCAAGTACTGCTGGTGACCACCTTGAGCACAAGAGAGGCCCATGCCCGGAGGTTGTGTTGCCTGGCTGCTGCTCGGCAGTGCTTGCGGCCGTGGAGGTAGCATCGTTGTTGCGTGAGGAACCAGTAGCAGAGGAGCCGGTGCAACCTCCAGCATAAGCTGCCGCCATTCGCGCCACCTGTGCCATTGGCATACCAAGCATCTCCACCCCAGGTAACCCCTGTGTACTTGGACTTTGCACGTCCATGGTTGAAGGCATCGGAAGCAGCTCCCGCTACACCTGCCTCGCCTCCGGAATTGCGCACCCATTCCCCGCCACTTTCACCAGCGCCACTCATACGCACTCAGGATGGCTGGAGGTGGGTACAACTGCTGCGCGGGGGGGGGGGGGGGTTGCGTGCTGCGGTGGAGCTCCTTGCCAGTAAAACGGCATGACGGGCGCTAGAAGGTAAGGAGGCATAGCTGCGAAACCTTGATGGTATATGGGAGCAGGTGGGCGAGGCGCAGCTTAGAGTGGAGAGACTGGACGCTGCGGCAGGGCAGGTCGGGATATACCAGACTGATTGTACACCGCGTCCTGCCCCGGTGGCACACTAGGCTGATGCGGCTGTGCAGGAGCGGGGGCGGGTGATGGCGATGCAGGTGAGTAGGAGATTCAC